ACATAGTTTAGATCTCAAGAATTTCCTTATAAATACAGTTGGCGTCTATGAACCACTGCTTGCTTCGAATGGGTTTCCTCAGTGTTAACTTTCTGTCAAGAAACTCAGCTGTAACCAGGCTGGCAGGTCTGGGTTGAAATCTCTTTTTGTCTTCCTCGACCTTCTCTTTCCTTGGTTTGCTCATTTAAAAACACGTAAATAACAACGGAAACGGTCCTGCACGGTTATGACAGAGGAGACTCCAGAGTTCTTAGATCAGGACCAAGGACACAGAAGTGCTTACTGTAATGACAGGAAAAGCCCACCTCCTTCCCCTCCATCTCCCTCCCTGCTTCTGCTCCTCCCATTTCCAGGAAGAACTGGTCTTTGCTGGGCGGAGTCCTCATGGCCACACCCCCCACCTATGCTCAAATTTGGTTCTGTGTGCGGCTTCCCACTCCGATTGAGGATTTGTGGCGGAGTGGTCCTGTCCCGGAGCTGCCCGGCTCCAGGTAAGCCAGGAGATGGGCGGTGCGGGACGCTGGAGTGTGGTAAGAGGCCTGGCCTCCTGAAGGGGTTGTTGGTGCCCCAGAGAGATCATGCCCTGCCAGGGAATCCAGACTCAGGTTTAGCTTATTTCAGAACACATCCTGTATATTACATTTCCTGGTCTCAAAAAGCCTCATCTACAACTGCCTGCAATATTTGTTAAAAACACAGATACGTAGCCCTAACCAGTATGGCTCCGTTGGTTGGGCATTGCCCTGCAAAGAGAAAGGTCGCCGGTTTGATTCCTGGTCAGGGCATATGCCCGGGTGGCAGATTTGGGCCCTGGTTGGGGCAAGTGTGAGAGGTGACTAATTGATGTGTCTCTCTCACATCAATGTTTCTCTCTCTTCTTCCCTTCCCATCTCTCTAAAAAGATATAAATAAATCTTAAAAAAGAAAAACAAATGAAAAACAGATCCCACCCTGATCTAAAGGGAAGCAGTATCTCTCGGTGGTGCTGGTCTGAGGCCCAGTGTGGAATCTGGGATGTCTCAGTGACGGGGAGGTTCGGGTAGGTTGGGGAAGTGGGGGGATGAGAGCAATGGGGCCCCTATCTCCAATTCTCAGGCTCTGTGTGGCCTTGATATCCCGTACTCCCACCAGACTGCCTTCTTATAGGGGGCTAAGTAGTTTACCCCAAGCCACAAAGTGTATGGGGGAGCATCAGAAACCTAAGGTAACAAATCCTTCATGAGTTCCTATTAGGTGCCAGGCCCTGAGCTGGATGGGTAAGGATCAATAATAAGCAAGATACAGGCTGAATGTGTTGGTGGTTAGTGTGGAACATCACTACAATGATTAAGTTTTATAGAAAGTATGTGATACTGAACCTTAAAATTGGATGTTGGGGGTGGGGCGTGTGAGCCCTGAAGGAAGAGGAGGAGCTAAGGAGGGACACAGGTGAAGAGACATCTACTGGGCTCCAGGGCAGCAGTATTCAAATGCCCTGGGATCAATTACATCTCAATGAGAAACAAAGGGGTGATACTTGCAAGCTGCTTTGAGAGAATAGTTACGTCAGTGAATGAAGTTATACCTACTTTGTACTTTGTGCAGAGAAATTTTTTATGGACAATTGAAATAAAGTGTTGACCCCTATTCCTTACCCCCACCTCCCCCAAAAGCTCTGGGGCCAGAGGTGGGTCAACCTGGGGCCAGTGAAGGAAGAACTGGGACTGAAGCCAGCTTAGAGTGGGCTTGGTGACAGATAAGGGACAGACCACGAGGAGTCTCAGCTGGAATGGCCTGGTGGACGCTAGTCCCGGGTCACAGGGTCATCCTGCATAGCCCACAAGCCCGAAACCCAAACTGCTATATAACAAGTTTCTGATTAATTTGGTGCCAAAGTATTTGGCAGAATATCACCTGACATGAAGCTTTTTATAGTCTTTAATGATCCCACTTGGTTTGAACACACATATATTCTGCTCCGTAATTATGTGTTTAATTAGGAAGTGTTTCCCTATGTCATCCCATGGACATATATATAATACATGGTCTATGTAGTACATCCATTTTCTAAAATACAAAATTCTGAATACTGTAGTCCAGTGGCCTAGGGGGGAGAGACAACAGCTCGGACTGGACTTAAGTGGAGGGAGAAGTTACCTGCTTTTTCCAGTCTACAATGTATTGTGTGCCTCCTATATCAATACATTTGGCACTACCATCTTTCTTTAAATCTGCAGTAGCTTCTTGAACAGCATGTATTTAACGTGTTTGTAATGTAGTTTATTCAGCCAGTACCGACAATGGATATTTCCAAAGTTTCCACATTTTTGAGATTTAAACCAGTACCAAGGAGAATGTCTTCGAATACCTCTCTTTGTTGTTCTTTTTCTTTTTTGTATATATGTTTGAGTATGTGTTGAAGCGATATGTGTGTTATAAGACAACATTCAACGGAGCAAATTTTAAAGATCCTGCTGGCTTTATTCAATAATTCAGTGGGGCAGCACGCAATTTTGCAGACAGAAAGGAGCTTCCAGGAGCTGTACCAAATGAGAGATTTTTTTTAGGCTGAAGGTAACAGGAAGTCGTAGGCAAAGAAGCCAATGGGTCGGCTATTTTGAGGTTCCTTTCCTTTAGGGGATGAAAGGGGCCTCTGGGGCCGCTGACCCCGTGAGTGCTGACCAGCTGATTCCTGACTGACTGGTTTGAGATCCTGTTTCTGGGAGAGCTGAATCTTCGTTTGATGACTTGGGGCCTAGCAGAGGTCACTTAGATTTGGGCCTGTTTTCTTGTTCATAACATGTGGTTGTTAGAATTAGTGTTAGTGGAATTACAAGGGCAAAGCAAAAATTTTTTCAGTTGTTGGATAGTTCAGCATTACTTTTACAAAAAGTTTTCTACTTCAGTGGTCCAGAGTGCTCGAATAGCTACCACCCAAAGCCAAAACGGGGCATTAATGATTTTTTTCAGTCTTACCGATACAAGAAGCTTAGTAAAAGGGGCAGATTTGTAATTCACAGATTATTACGTTTCTGCATTTTTCCATAATCATTTGCTTCTCTGCTTGTTTTTCTTCATGGGAAATTTTTTTTTTTTTAACCTTCTTGTCTGGTAGGTATTCTGTATTTAGAGGTGACATTTTACTAGCAAACACTGAAAATTTTCCCGGTTTTGTTTATTTCCTGGATCTCATTTCACAAATGAGGCTTTTGTGGCAAATTGTTTCATGGGAGCAGAATAAGTCACACTGTAAGGGTTCTTTGGGACATAAGGATTATTTGGGGCTGATTATTTTTGAAAGGTTACTGATGCAGGAGAATCTCTGAAAACTGTGTAGAAGTTGCCCTTTTGTGAGGGAGATTTACATTTATAAGGGAAATCTCCATTTGTAAGGGTGCTTCTGCCCTTGTGGGAAGAGGATGACTCACTCGAAAGCTCTGGAAACTCTTTATCAATGGGACAGGTACCCGCTTCAATCAGCTTATCAGCCTTACCTTTCTTTACTCTGCTAGATAAGCTCCCTTAACTGTCCCACCCCAACATCTTTTGTCTTCAGCTGAAGACAATATTTAATGTGATGGCCTAGGCCATTTCAGGAAGTTGGTTTTCCTGGGTCTCTCCCGTGTGTATAGGAGGTATGTATGTTATTCAGAGACGTCTCTGCTAAGAAGCTAGGAGGGTACAGGGGAAAGTGAGTTTCCTTATACAACACATGTAGAGAAGCAAGGATATAAAAAAAGCAAACTGAATTTGGTAAATGTGAATTCTGAGCCATCATAAATTCTGTTTCAAGCCTTCAGAAAGGCTGAGGGTTTCCTTACCTTCTGTAGTCTCATGATAAAAATTTATAGCGATATTACTATTCTTACATACCTGATTCCAAGAGTTTGGAATTGTAGGGGAGCAAAAAAATTTCCCTTCTACACTCCTAGGGCCTGTGGCTGATCTAAGAATTAAATTGATGTAAAATAAATTAACAAGAGGAAAAAAACCATTTTAATTACATTTTTTTACATGCAGAAATTTCACAAAGATTTGAGGCTCAAATGGGCAGCCAGCCAGTTGAGACTTCATCTTGAGGTGAGGAAGGGCAGGGGGTCCGGGGGCGGCGATTCACAGGAAGGTGAGAGGAGGACTCTTCAGGACACAAAGGTTGTCCTGTTAAAGCAGGAGTTTCTTAGGTGAAAAAGTTCTCTCTGGTGAGAGCTCTCTTCCTGCTAGAAAGGCCCTTTTTCTAATGTTACTTTTCTTTGTGATTGCTCAGTCCTCCCGCAAACAGGGAAATTTCATACTTTTTGGGCGGGGCAGTTAAGGAGGAGCTAAAAAGCTTTTCCTGAGTCAATTGAGTCTTGATTGCCTTCAGCTTAAAATAACCCACATCTAAAATGGCATATTTGGGGGACGCATGTTCTGAACCCCCTTCAGGATGTAAAATAAATTCTCCCCAGTTGCATGGATAGGTGACTATGGCCGTGTTTTAGTTTGGGTGTGGCACATCTGTCTGTCCCAGAGCCTGCGCCCTTTCCATCGCCCCAGGTCGGGTGAAGGGGGAGTAGATGGGGTGGGGGAAGGTGCCTCCCAGAGGGTGGGAGTAAACAGAGCACAATGACAGGCATGGCGGGGGGATACTGGGGTTAGGCCAGGATAACTGTGTTTGACTGGAATGTGCTAGTGGGGTCCCTTGAAGGAAACTCAGGGTGGTTTTTCTTTTTTTTTTTTTTTAAATAAGAAATAACTTCTCACCCACAGCAACTCATGATTTGAGATAACAAACAACTGTTCTGACCAAGAAAGCTGCTTAATTCCCTCTGGGCTTCCAAATTCTGGAGCAGTTGTCCAGTCAAGCTGTGACTGGCTGCAGGCTGTGGGAAGGGCTCCTCTTGGCAGCTGGAATTAAAAGGTCTGAAGACTCAGGAGTTTATAGGCTACCAGCAAAGCGAGGACTGAGATTTTTGGAGATACCCACTTCTTACTGCAGAGCCTAGCTTCCTGAAGAAGCCCCCCCCTCAGTCCAGTCCATCATGCAGGGCTACATGGCAGTTGAAGCAGCTTTGGCAGGACTCCAGGCAGAAGTCAACTGTCCCATCTGTCTGGATGACCTGAGAGACCCTGTCACCATCGAATGTGGGCACAACTTCTGTCGTGTCTGCATCCAACAGTCCTGGGCTGATCTGCGGGACAGACTCCCTTGCCCTGTGTGCCGTCATCTGTGCCAAGAGAGGCACTTGAGGAGCAACACCCAGCTGGGAAGGATGATTGACACTGCCAAGCTCCTCCAGATCACCAGGAGCAAGAAGAAGCGTCAGGAAGAGAGGCGCTTGTGCGAGAAGCACAGCCAGGTTTTGACCCTCTTCTGTGAGGAGGACCTGGAGGTGTTGTGTCCCCTGTGCACTCAGCCCCCGGACCACCAGGGCCACCAGGTGAGGCCCCTGGAGGAGGCTGCTGCCCATCACAGGCAAAGGCTCAGCAGTTACATTGAGCCCCTCAAGAAGCAGGTGGCAGACGTTCAGAAGTTAATAAGCATTCAAAGCAAAAAAACCTTAGAACTGAGAGAGAAGGTGGAAAACCAAAGGCTGGAATTACACTCGGAATTTGAGCACCTGCGGCAGTTTTTAGAACGTGATCAAGAAGCAGTTCTTTCAAGATTAGCTGATGAAGAGAAGACTGTTCAAAGGAAACTCAGCGCTAATATAACTGCATTTTCAGAGTACAATTCCACACTCAAAGATCTACTAAGTAAGCTGGCACAGAGCAGCATGCTGCCGGAAGTAGAACTGCTCTTAGAAATTAAAAATTTCTACAAGAACTCTGAGGAGTACAGCCCCTCCGTCTTTTCAGTTCAGTTGAGGAAGGAAGGCTGCAGTTTTCCCTTCCAGTATTCTGCTTTGCAGAAAATTGTACAGAAATTTAGAGTAGATGTCATTCTAGACCCTGAAACGGCACACCCTAACTTGATTGTCTCTGAGGATAAAAAAAGTGTGAGATACACAAAGAGAAAACAAAATGTTCCAGATTTTCCAAAAAGATATACAGTCAACACCGTGGTCCTGGGTTTCCCAGTTTTTCGTTCTGGCAGGCATTTCTGGGAGGTGGAAGTGGGAGACAAATCCAAATGGGCTGTTGGGGTTTGCAAAGAGTCTCTTTCTACAAAGATGAGGAGGAGCCCAACGGCCTGTCAGGGATGCTGGAGGGTTCGGCGGCAAGGAGACAGCTACGACGCCCCGGGAGCCAGCAGAACCCCTCTTCTGTCCGAAGTGAAGCCCACCGGCATTGGCATCTTCCTGGACTTTGAGATGGGTGAGGTCTCATTTTACAACATGACTGACAAGTCTCATATCTGCACTTTCACTGACACTTTTAATAGACCTCTTAGGCCTTATTTCTACGTGGGACATGATTCAGATCCTCTTAGAATCTGTACAGGAATAGATTGTGAATGAAAAGTTTCTAATAGGCTGGGCCAGTTTCTTTTTTTTTTTTTAATGGAAGGTGGGTTTTCCTTTTTTAATTGAATTTACTGGGTGACACTGGTTAATGTAATTACATAGGTTTCGGGGGTACAATTCTATAATTATCTCCTACCTCCCCCTAAAAGGTGGGCATCCTACTAACATGACAGTAAATACAACCCCCCTGTAACAGCTGCACCCCTCAGGAAGAAGGTTTCCTTTTGTTTCAGCAGCACAGGACAGACAGCATGAAGACCTTCGGAGCGCTGAGGCTGCCCACCTCTTCTCCCGTGTCCTGCCGCACACTGGGCTCAAGCTCTACACAGTGCTTGCGGTCTTCTGTAGCTGTCTACCCTGCTTCCTTGCTCACGAATTTGCCCTGAGTCCCTAACGCCTCCATCCCCTCTGGGCACTGGAACTCCCATAGCACCTTCGGGCTTGCTGCCATTGTCTCACTCGCCCAGAAACCCTGGTCCTCTGTAAGTGACAACCTGGGTCTATCTCAGTAAAACTGCAGGATCCTTGGTGCTAGCACAGTATCTGCCTGATGAACAGCATGCTTAACATTAAAAAATCATTTTATTCATTTCTTTTTTAATGTATTGGGGTGACGTGGGTTAATAAAATTCTATAGGTTTCAGGCATACAGTTCTATAACACACCATCTGTATATTGTATTGTGTGTTCACATCAAGTCGTATCTCCTTCCATCACAGTTTTCCGCACCTATAAGCATGCATAACATTTAAAATGCTTTGGTCATTCTTTTGTTTTGCTAGTTTGGGTACTTAATTTCATTTTCTTTTATTGCTTGAAATGTTCATTGTTGGGTTTAAAGAGTGCTGGTGTTCACAGAGCCGGCACATTAGAACCTGAGCATCCTCATTTTTGAACTATACCTTTTTCTCTGTAAACCAAAGTTTATCCCATAAACCTTACACACTGACTAGATTCACATTGAATTGAAAAATAAATAAGGATTAATCACCTACCATCAGTGTCTTCCTTTTGGAAAAGAAAACAGCTGCCCTGGCTGGTGTGGCTCAGTGGATTAAGTACGGGCCGGCCTTTGAACCAGAGAGTCCCGGCTCCAGATTCCCAGTGAGGGCACAAGTGTGGGTTGTGGGCCAGGTCCCTAGTAGGGCATGAGAGAGGCAACCAAACATTGGTGTTTCTCTCCCTTTCTCCTTCCCTTCCCCTCTCTAAAATAATAAAATCTTTCTTAAAAAGAAAGAAAAGAAAACGGCTGACAGCAAAATCATAGAGAGACAGATTTCCAGAGAAGGCAATGGTTTTGAGACATACTTACCAAAAAAAAAAAAAAAGGAAAGGAGAAAAGGGGGGGAGTCAGAAAACTTGGACATAATCCGAACTTTAAAAATAGTCTGGCTTTAGTCTGTGAATCTTGTCTTTTGGGGGAGTCAATGCTATTGTCTGCAGGTGATACACCATCACCTTTACTTCACTAGAAAACTCTCAGAATGCCCCTCAGTGGCTGTAGCTGAAGGAAACACATGTTTGCCCTCCATCGGTAACAGTCGTGCAATTAAATGGCTACATCCCTTGCCAGATAGTTGTGTCTAGGTTAAGGATTTCCAAACCAAACACTGATTATTCAGCTAAATACCAAAGATGTTAAAAATAAAATAAAATAAAATAAATTAGCACGCTTCATCCCTACCCCTCATGTTAAGCTCCCAACCAAAAGTGTTTCTAAGGCAGCATGTTACGGTGCCAACAGCAACTGGTAAAGGGGCACACTAGGAAAACAAGTAATGCCATTTACTCCTAAAAATGCTTCACTTTATCTGGGGAATGAGATGTGTTTAATATCTGTATAAAAGTTGACAGGACATTTTATTCCCATCATAATTTCTAGGTATAATCCAAGACTAAGCGACGTGTCCTTTTTACTTTTTAGACAAACTTAAAAGCCACAGAAGATCCCTTCCCTATCACTGAACTTACTGCTCCAGTGAAGGGACAGTCAATACTGACGTACATGGCAACTTCCTGAAGAAAGGGCAAAAATAAAGAGAATGTTGAAGGTTTCCTAAGTACTTCAGCTGTTGCCACCAGAAGGTTGTACAGATGTAACAGTGACGGTTAGTCTGACACTGGTCAGGCTGACACTGATCCAAGTAACCTTCATAGCTTATTTCTGGACAATGGAAAATTGTAGGAGTCTGCATAGTAAATAACCTAGTGAGAACTTGATTCTACAGTGAAAACATTCTTTATAAAAGCTACAACGGCCCAGCTGCACCTCAGTACCACACAAGCATACGGAATATATGCTAAGGCTCTATGGGAAGAAATAGTAACACAAGAAATGCCTTCCCTGTCAGTTTAAAAGTGGGAAAACATGATCAAGTCCCTGTTGTAAGTTCATTGGCATGCCAGGTTCCCTCTATAAACAGCCAAATTATTACAGGGCTCTTAGGTAATATGGAAGAAGTGTTGGCCCAGGAGATGTTTAAACTATACTCTTGGTCCTGGGATAAACCAGGTAGTTAAATCACTTCAAAATGTGCAAGACAGACATTCTCTTTTAGTTACCAAGACTACAAATCACTTCACATGATCCACAGCCCTACATGTTACATAGCCACACAGGTGAAAACCAAATTCAGATTTCCAGCAAAAATGGTAAACTGTTACTTGGGAAAAGCTGCAGTTTGCTATGACAATTTGTCAGGTAGTCAGTCTTAAGTTAGTCTGGATCCCTCAGCAGTTGTCTTGACCTTGAACTCTCACATTCAACTTGGATGAGATCCTAGGTCAGAGGAAGTGGAAGCCAACAACCGCTTACTCAACAGGGCATTGTGTCGCTTCAGGTACACGATGATGTCTCCTTGCCTTTCGACAATTTCTTCTAGACTTGAAGTAGTCCTGCAAAGAATCAAGATAGTAATAGGTTACACATATTCACCAATACTCATTAGTCTTTTTGCCAACGTGTCCCCGACCAGTTGAAGACTGGTGAAAGTACAGCATATTGCTTTTGTTACTTTTTCTTACATGTTATATAAGCCAAGGCAATATTCCAAAGTGAGATTCTTTTATTCGTCTGGGTTTCACTACAGTCAAAAAGAAGTACCATCAAACCTAATTCTAGAAGCACATAGGCAGAGTCATAATCCCCAAGGAGAATGGTTTCTAGATTTCCGGGGGGGAGGAGGGAAACTTAATTCTCTTTCTGTCAACTATTACTCCCCACCTGAAGCTCACCTGAATCCAGTCTCTGAAGTAATATTGCTGGGGTAGGCATAGACTTTTTCTTCTTCAAGTACATCAGGCTGTGGTTTGGCTTGATTAAACTTTCGAATCTTCACTGAAATAAAGTCATTGTCAGGTTATATAATTATAAAAATGTTTCCATTTCCATTGATTTAAGTTACATTAATCGGCTATTTTCAAAAAAGGGAATATGCATAGAAATGCTTCATAAAGAGAATAAGTACATTCATTTATTGACGTACTCAAACATTTGAAAGTCTTCTGTGTGCCAAACCTGTACCAAGCACTGGGAACAGTGGTTATTGATAATAGTAGGTATTATTTTTCTGGACTAAAAATACAGAAGGCAGAGGTGAACTGGCTTACATGGAACTCATTCAGTTCTCAAGATCACCCCAAGGTGGGTGCTTTTCTTCTTATTTTCTATAATCAAGTAAAATGCAGCCCAGGGAAGCCAGACAAGCACCCTGGGCTCTAACCCAGGAAGCACGACTCCAAACATTGCTGTGGATGCTACCCTCCCTATAAGAAGAGGTACTAGTCCAAGGCAAAATGCAAATAAGCCTATTTATGAAAAGGACCATACATCAGCACTTGCAGAGGGGCTAAGACCACCCTGGAAAGCAGCCCCTTACTCAGCAGGAGTGGGGTGGGGCCCGGGGAGGACCAGAGAGGACCAGAGAGGAGGAAGAGGGCAGGGCTTGAGTCCAGCCTTGACAGAAACCCGAAGTTAATCACAGACAAGTGGCGTGGAGGAGATGGTGTTTTAAATTTTCAAATCTTCACTAAAATAATAAAGTTTTAGTTGAGGGAAAAGCCAGGACAAATACCTAGGATCCTGAGACGGGGAGAGAGCGAGGCAGTAAGGGCGTGTAAGAGACAGAGAATGTATTTTCTACTGAAGTACGTATATTCAAAACTTACACGGAGACAGTAGCTTTAACACAAGATTGCTACAGGAACATAAAACAAGCTACTTTACAGTGTAATGTCTCAGGCTCCTCAATTCCTCACCTCTTCTGACTGAAGGGAGGCAGCCCAGATTATACTTTCAGCGGAGTAGGGGCTCGGACACTGCTGGCCGGGAAAAACTCATGGTGTATCTGCTTGAACTAGAAATATTTATTTTACAAATACTGAGCACTAGCACAGGGTCCAGATATCTAGCAAGCACCACTTTTCGGGAGTATTATGGGGGGATTAAGTTAACAAGCTCTATTGTGTGTGTGCCATCGTCAGACATTCAAAGTCCTGCTCATATAGAGAGTTCAAAAGCCCTATGAAGGTAATCAGCAAAGCAGTTATTATTGGGCCATCTGAATTCCTTGAAGCAAAATGACTTACGTTATTGTATTATATCATTCAACTATGACCTCTTTTGTTTCCCGTGAGTAGGGCTGGGCATAGACAAGGGGTGAGGCTGGAAAGGCGGGCAGGGAAGATGTGAGAGGCTGGTGTGCTGTGATGAAGCATTTGGATTTTATCCCAAAAGCAAATGGATCTCACCATCATCCCTGAAGAGTGGGGATGGGTAGGCGCTAGTTCATGGAAAGCCTTTTATATCACACTAAGACTTCAGATTTTCTTTATTAGGCCCTTAGAAAACTCTGAACAGGGAAGTTGTTAATGATTAGATTTACCTGTAAACATGATCACCTTGGCAAGAGTAAAGAATATGAACTAGAGGACAATTTTACCAGCTGCAGGAAGGCTGATAACTGAATCTGCTTATTTTTAAATGCATGGATGGCTCATCAAATTTAATATCTCAGAACTGTTTCAAGTTTTATTTTCCTAGCTTTCCTTATACAGGCAGTCATGCAAATTAGTGCTCAATAGGAAGAGTCCATCTTGGTTTCTAGAGATTAACTACTTGCAATACAAATAAAGTCATCAAGGTTAGGTCACAACTAGTGTATCAGAGAATCATGCCCTAAAGAGTTACTCTAAACAATGATCAAAAGTAGCTATCTTTTAAAGTAGAGAGAAGCAAGAAAAACTTATTTATCAGGGGACCAACCTTAAATTTTCTGTGACAATGAACAAAAGCAACATCTGTCTCCAGAAGCAACTCCCTAAATCTCTCCTGTGAACGCCTACAGTACATTTAAAGGAATATTAAAGTTTAAAAAGTACACCTATTATTGAGGATATAGAGTGAAAACAGTCATACTTGAGCCTTCTAAAGAAATTCAGTATTTTCAGAAACCCTATACTAAGTAAATTTACAATTGTTATAATTATCACCTATTTATTTTACAAGTTTGAATTACCAGTGACCAAATTTTCTTAAATTAGGAAGCATGTTAAGATTTAAAAGGACAGTTTTTCATGGTGTGTTAAAAAACATTTAAAATTTTATTTAAATAATAGAAATTATGCTCCTAAGTCTTTGACTATAGACTAAAGCAATTCTTTCCAATTAGGAAGACAATGAATTAAAATACAGGGTAGCCCTGGCTGGTGGGGCTCCATGAATTGGGGTTCCCCGTTGCACTGCAGGTCAGGGCACGTGCCTGGGCTGTTGACCAGGTCCCCGAATAGGGGCTCACAAGAGGCAACCTATATGATGTTTCTCTCCCTCTCTCTCTCCCTCCCTCCCTTCTCCTCTCTCTGAAAAATAAATAAAATCATTAAAATAAATGGTACATGACAGAGGAAAATCCTCTCTATTTGTTCAAGTTTAGGTGTTGTGTAACTAGTATAATTGTGCCCCCAAATTAGTTCCTCTCAGAACCCTTGGGATATCTTCCTCTGCTCCAAATGGCGTCAGGTTTTTGTCTTTTTGTTTATAACATTATCTGACTTACTAACAGCATGATTAACTTCCAGTGCTTCAGCAAGTCCTTTCAAACCGTTACAGTAAATCCTAGAGAAACACATCTTAGACTCCATTTAACACTATTGATTTCCCCTTTTTAGATGATGGTGCTCACGTGATCTTTGGAATATTATTGTCACCTTCTGTGTCACAGAGCATTCTGTACAGATATTACAGAAAATTCTTGACTGAAGGCTTGGACCCCTTATAGTAAATAAAAGTTGTAGAGATGTAACAAAATAACACGCTAACTGAATTCTATGCTCGGATCTAACTTAGAACACCACTAACAGCACTCGACAGACATGCTACGTCATGGAATAAAACTGATCAATCAAGATCATTCCAGGTTCATTCTTTCACGTGGACCACTTTCCTGAAATACCGAGCTGTTTCCCCAACACTAAAAAATGAACCTCACTTTAGAACTAGTCTCCCGTTTTTCTATTGCATTAAGTGGGTGGGGTACATTTCCTTTTTTAGCGACAGACTATTCAGGCGTTTTCTTCATACCTCGCACTTCTTTTATTTAGTAAGGTTCAAATGTAATCTACCTAATTTGGCCAATCGTTAGCTGATAATTGCAGGAAAATGTATAAAAGTCTATTAAGATGTGACAGCACTCTTGTTTGTAGACGAGGTATTCCATTCCTATTCTAAATACTTTCCTCTGGGCCCTCAAGGAGATGCACCAAAAAAAAAAAATCGGTAAAAGAAAACACAAGCTGAGACTCATCTTCATGACTAGAGAAGCGATTTCTTTGAAAATGGACAGGTGAGGTACTTTGTTGTCATGAAACAACTGTCGCTCAGTGGCACACAGCAGGCAGAGCACCAACTGCGGAGGACAGACTTCGCTGTGCTGGGCTGGAGTCTGGGTTTCCCCGGGGCCCGGATTTGTTTCTGTTACACTGTCCTTTCATCTGCTGTTCATAGTAACATAGCTGGCTTACTTTAATTTTACTACTGAGAGTTTTATATATATATATATATATTTTTTTTTTAAATGAGAGATTTAAAAGAGAAGAGATAGACAGGGGACAGACAGACCAACCTTCAGACAGCTCTAAATTTGGAAAGAAGTGGGTTCTTTTTTTTTCCAGTTTTTTTAAATTTTATTTTTTTTAATGTATTTATCTTTAGAGGGGAAGGGAAGGAGCGAGGTAGAGAAATATCAATGTGTGGTTGCCTCTCATGCATCCCCTACTGGGAACTGGCCTGCAACCCAGGCATGTGCCCTGACTAGGAGTCGAACCTCGATCCTTTGGTTTGCAGGCCCACGCTCAATCCACTGAGCCACACCAGCCAAGGCAAGAAGTGGGTTCTTAATCTCTCCCAAAGCAATTTTGGGCTTAATGCACTTTCGCATGCGTTATTTACTTACTTTGTAGTTTGTTACTTTTAATTTGAAATGCCAGGTCTACATTTCACTTGCCTTTGAGGAATTGCACATTTGTGAGCTTTTTGGAATTTTTTCATTTATAATGGAAAGGCTTCACTTTAGTTCACAAAAACTTGTGGATGGCACAGACTTGAAAACGTGACTCATGGGTATCTTCCTGCTGGTTTGAAATGAGAAGAGTTTGGGTGTGGTCAGCAGCAACAGGTCCAGGTGCTCAAAAGGTTCTCAGCCATGCAGGATATCTTTGAGAACAACTTCCTTGTGGCAAAGACCATGGGTTAGGTAGGCTTTGTAAGAACAGCCTAGTTGTATTTATTTCTCACCTGTGTAGATGAGCAGACACGTCAGGGAACAGATCAGTTCCAGGGCCAGGATGGCCAGGATGAGATCAAGATACAGCCTGCTGGACTCCGGGAAGGAGTGCTGGACACACAGGATGAGGAGAAGTGCCGTGTTGCCTGAGAAGAAGGGATGTCACCACGGCATCAGCCAGAGCCCAGTGTGAACCCCAAAAGCCATGCACCTACCCAGAGCCTTTTATAGGCAGCAGTGAAGGAAGTTAGAGGATAAAAACCAAAAAACTACTCACCTTTTGAGGGAAATGAAAACCAAACCAAACCATCAAAGAGTTAATGATGTCTCATAATACAAATATATGACTCTGCCTGGACTTCCTTAAAAACTAAGGAATGATTTTTTGCTTTATAGACTTACTAACAATGATATCCCTTTGGGTCCGTTGTGCATTTAAAAAATGAAGCAGTTTTGAGAAATTTGTGTTTTCCCAGTTCTTCCGGATCTGCCACTTTTCGTGAACTAAAGCTGTCAACTCACTTTCACCTCAGATCCGTCCTCCTTAAACCTGGGGAAATAATGCTTGTCACACAAACCCTGTTGCAGGAGGACAGGAACCGACAGTGTCTGAGTAGGTGTTCCAGAAATGGTGGATACTCGGTAAGTGGTGGGTACCATTACTGTAATATTCTGGTTTTATGGGACCCATCCCAATGCCAGGAACACGTCACACAGCTCCCCCTCCAGGCAGGTCCCCGCTACAGCGAGCCCCAGCCTCTTCTCACTCACTGGGCAGTAAGTGTTTGATAGAGTTTAAAAATGTACTTGGATCTGAGGAAGGAGGACAGATAAATTAGATAAATATTTTCAACTTATTTGGAAGAAAAGGAAAGTCCCATCTCCACAAAATAAATGTATTTTCCTCTCTCTAGAGAATAACAAAAAGTATCAGAATGAGGCTAATCAATATCCAGCAATACTATCACATGTGATTAAAAATATGGTTATACTCTTCTGATTAGCTGGAGTTTCTATGATTTACTTTCTTTTTCTTCAAATAAGAAAACAATATAATTAGGAAAAATAGAAACAAGGTAAATACCTGCCCCAAGCTCTTTGATTTTCTGGGTCCCTGTATAAGCAACATACAAGTGATACCATCTGTGATTAAACTAAGGGTCCAATTGTTTAGTAACATATTATGATTAAGGGTCACATGCTTAACAAGAATTTGAAAGTCAGAGGAAAGGTAAAGTTAGATACCACCCTTTTGGTGGCCTCAAAAATATGAGTCCTAAAAAAATGCTATTTCCAGAAAAATCACTTAAGATGAAACATTATTTTGGTCAGAGAGCATATAAGGTTTTTCAGTAGTTTAAAAATAGGTTTCTGCCTATTTCCCATCTCCTCCAGCACCTTACCCACCCCAGAGGAAAGGTAAGAGTGACATCTTGTGTCCATGAGACAGTACTACACATCAAAAGTTGAACGAGGACACTACACTGTTCCTTAGGGAGCAAGCAGTAAATGCCGCCCCCTTCTGGATGAGTAAAAGTCAGCCATCTCCATAATGAGGTAATCCATGAGATTAAAGCAAGTAATTTTCTTCAAACCCTCAATGCTTATGTATTGATTTATTTAACATAATTTATATTATTGATGAAATAACTACATATGGTTACAATCCTTCAACTATGTGTCTGTGTTCCATAAAATTTGGGAAAGTTGGTAAAGACTCCATAAAATGTTTCTCTGTTGTACTATGGTCCTCCATCGTCCACTAACAAGGTCAGAGTGGATGAACTAGCAGTTTGCCCTTAAGGAATGGTACTAACAGAACACGAAAGAAAAATAAAAATTCAATTCTGTAGAGCTGTTTTTTTTCTGGAGAAAAGTATTCATTTCTAATCTAGTTTCAAAATGTTTAAAGATTTATTCTGGTCTCACATTCAAAGATGGCCTTTTAAAATGATAGGAACTTAAGCTAAACTACCTAAGGATGATCAATTTAATTCCATTAAGCCTTTAAAATGTCTACAACAGTAAAGAGAAGCAGGCAGTCATGCATTCTAAATCCTGTGTGGACTTTCTGACCTTGCTTTCATAATTTGTTTTTCCATTTTGGATAATACATCATATTATTTAACAGTCTTTCTTACTACAAGACAAGTACTGAGCTTCACTTAAAATAGAAGAATTCCCTCTTCTTACCTTCCAAGTATCAAATAGCAGCAACATTTATATCTGCTTGAGATGAATAAGGAAAGCGGGGGCATTTCTACATTTCACACAGGAATTCATGGACACCAGGTTCATAATGAATGGGAACAGAAAATGCCGACCAAAAATATAACATTAGCATATGGATAATTTTAACCTGATTATTTTTAAGAAACAGCAGACACAGGAAAATTTCTGAACACTGAGTAGAAGTTATCCATGTGTAAGTCTGTCTCCCTCTCTGAACCGGGAAGGGAAGGATGACTTGTAAATAAGTCAGTTAGTTTTGAAAAAGGATGATGCTAAATCTTAAGAAGTTCTCATCAATGGAGAAGGCACCTCCTTACACCTGCTAACATCCTTACCCTTGTTTACTGCACTTTTCTTGGTAATCTCCCATAACTGCCTCTCCACCCCCAACATCTTTCGTCTTTAGCTGAAGATGGTATTTAAAGTGGTAGCTTGGGCCATTTTGGGGAATTACTCAGGTATCGTGCATCTCTCTCATGTCTAAAGGAGGCATACATGTTACTAAACTTGTTTGGTTTTCTCCTGTTAATATGTCTTTTATTACAGTGGGCTCTCAGCTCAGAACCCGAAAGGATAGAGGGGAAAAGGATCTGTCCCCTATAATACTAAACACAGATTCCAAAGAAAAATCAAGCATCAAGACATTGAGGTGGTCTAAATATAGTGGCCACAACATATATCATTCTCACAAAAATGAGAAAAACCTACAGTAAGTCCTCACTTAACATCGTAAATAGGTTTCTGTGACTTTAAGTAAAACAGCATTATAAAGAAACCCATCCGAACATAGGCTGTTGATCCAAACAAGAGTTAAGTTCCCATGTCACCCCATCCACATTTTAACAAAACAGCACTGAGTGAGACAACATTATTCAAGGACCTGCTGTATTTGATTGTAAAATCAATCTTTGCATTTTCTTTCTGCTGTCACTTTTGTTACTTGTGCGTGTCAGACAAGCCGAGAGAGACAACTGGGCTTACCCGTGGAGTGTATGGTTAACGCAAGTCTTTTAAGATGCCTTGTTGATCGGTAGATCAGGTTATAGCCTCGGTTTCTTACTTTGCTGTGGTGATACTGAATGTAGCGTTCGAGAAGGAAATGCAGAATCCACAAAATGACTTTTCCAAGGATGATGACCGTCTGAACTTTCAGCGGGTTGGTGTAGTTTCCTGGGCACTTGTCCTCATTTGGATTCGGGTAAGAACAAAGCACACCCGTTAAAAATGCTAAAACAACAAACACAACCTGGTGGAAAGGAAAGCAGTGGGTTTAATATTCAATATTTGTATTTGGGATCCCAGCATATACTCTTAAACCTATGACTTTTGCTATCCAATTTTTATAAATGAGTTTAAAAATACTTTTTTACAAACTTTTAGAACAAAATTTGAAGAAAAATTTGCAGATAACTTGGAAAACAAATAAAATAGAGATCACCCCAAATCTGATCTTAACTGATATAGGTACTTAATGTAAACACAGTTTCTTGTCTACTTCTCTATTACTGAAAAGAGTAAAAATAGTTAATTTATTGCCTTGAAGGTAGCTAATAAAAATCATGATTTAAAAAAGTGTAAAAAAATAAAAATAAAAGTTTATTTCTAGTTTCAGTGTTAAGAGAACAACAAAAAGTATCCAATTACATTGACGAAAATTTATAAGATTGGTGCCAAAATACATGCAAACAGACATTCTTGTATAATGCTGACTGGTCTGAGAATTGCTGTTGGAAAATAATTTGGAAATATCTTTTTAAAAAAATTACTTTATTGTTGTTCAATTGTCTGCATTTTCTCTCCACCACTCCCCCCACCCCAGGCAAACCCACCTCTCTCCCTTGCTTCCACCCAATCTGGAAATATCTTGACTCAGCTGCCTACCTTAGGACTCTGTCCCTGAGAATGAAAAGCACTAGTGTCTAGTACACTGGGGTATGAATATTTACTGCAGTATTCTCCATATTTGTAAAACTTGAAAACTGCCCACATATGTCCATCCACAGTAGAAGAATGGGGTTTTTTTTTAGATTTTATTTACTTATTTATCTTTAGACGGGAAGGGAAGGAGAGAGGGAGAGAAACATCCATGTATGGTTGCCTTTAATGCATCCCCTGCTGGGAACTGGCCTGCAGGGAACCGGCCTGCAACCCAGGCATGTGCCCTGACTGGGAATCAAACTGCAACCCTTTGGTTCGCAGGCCTGTGCTCAATCCACTGAGCTACACCAGCCAGGGCTCAAGAATGTTTGAATTAAGGTACATTCATCCATATAATAGAGTATCATTCAGCCATAAAAGAACTAACTAAATCTCTGTGAATTAGTTTGGATGGATATCTATGATATGTGAAGGGTAAGAAATAAGTTGCAGATTAGTAGCTTAAAGTGTGGTTTCCAAACTGGAAGCACCAGAGACCCTATTAGAGATGCAAATTTTGGGGTCCCCACCCAGAGTGACTGAGTCAAAATCACTGGGGTGTGGCAGGGCAATCTGCAGTTCAGCAAGCATGCCAGAAGTCTGATCCATATCGAAGTTTGATACAGAGCAATAATAAAACAATAACTGCTGTAGGGCAATAACTAAAGTATTATCCATTCTTTGAAAGAAATTGGGTAACACTGCAAATATGTCTACAATAAAATTCTTTGAAGTACAGATATGAGTGAAAAAGTATGCACATTTTAAATGTTGATAAATATAACTAAATTGCCCTCCAAAGAGCACAAATGTGTGTGTATGTATGTGTGTATATATATGTATGTATATATGTGTGTGTGTATATATATATATACATATACATTTAAGATTTCATTTATTTATTTTTAGGGAGGGATAAAAGGAGGGAGAGAAACACTGATGTGTGAGATACATCCATCAGTTGCCTCTCACACGCCCCCAAGTGGGGACCTGGCCCGCAACCCAGGCATGTGCCCTGACCGGGAATCAACCCGGTGACCCTTTGGTTCACAGGCTGGCACTCAATGCACTGAGCCACACCAGCCAGGGCAGCTTCTACATTTTTTAAGCACATCACCTCTAGATGGATCGCTTTCTCCCAGCTAACTTACATGCACTAACAAGAGAAGATTTGCTATGATGACTGTAGGAAGAGGATGGAACCTGGGTCTAAACTGAGCATGTAGTGAGTAATGTGGGTGAAGCTGGGTGTCCAGAAGGGGGTCCTCTTCAATACTTTGGGTTGGATCCAAGGAACCCTGGGGTGCGGAAAAAAGCAAGCAAGCATTGATTACCACTTTCTGGGTTATGTTTCTAAGACAAATTTAGTAAACTATACAATTTTAGAAAACATTACACAAGTTAGAGGCAAAAAACCCCCAACTCTACCTAAAGCCAATTTTGAAAATATACCATTAGCCTCTAGTTAACTAGTATACAAATTGGTGAAAACACAATTATTAAAACAGGTAGAGGATATCTTCATTAATCTTCAAGCAAGGTAATCCATGAGATTAAAGCAAATAATTTTCTTCAAGTCCTCAACGCTTATGCATTGATTTACTTAACATAATTTATATTATTGATGAAATAACTACATATGGTTACAATTCTTCAACTATGTGTCTGTGTTCCATAAACTTTGGGAAAGTCGGTAAAGACTTTGTTAAAGAGGTCTTAAAACAGACTTTCAGTTACGAAAGAAATATTTTAGAGCACTGACCACCCTGATGGACCTCCGAGGAGACTTTAGTTTGTAGCTGTCAGATTCTCAATGACAACTACTACTTGCGATGTCACTGAAGTGACAAATTATGGGTTCTTTCAGAGGCCTTGGTGTTCAGCTAGTCTGTTTCAAATAAATCCCTACCCTCCTTAAATAAGCCAGAGTTGGTTTCACAGCTTGCAAACAATTAACCTTGGCTAAAAAGCATTTGCCTCTTCTAAGTCACTGAAGTGTCTGGGACTTGAGCAGATAATTTTTAGCTTTTTACAGAATGACTGAATTCATATCCACAAAAATGCCAAAGCAGGCAACTTGCTCAGGTCAAAAGTGATTAAGCTATGCAATTGTTGGTGAGACAGATTTCTAGGATTGTACTCATTCTACAGCTAAAAGCTACAGATCCAAGAACCCTGAGGTAGCTTAGCATCAACCAAGAAACTAGTTTTTCCATACATTGTCAGTTGATGAAACCCACCCTTAAAAATTTAGAAACAATCAACTTTTAAAGAATACGTATGAGTCTCAAATCTACTTCCAGGTTGTAGTTAGTGTTCCATTTTCTCCACTGGGGGGAAAAGAGGGAATTTTGTAGTTTAATCAGAAATTGTTTAGTCTTTATTTAGTTAAGATACTTTAACTAAGGTCATTATTTACCGAAGAACCTAAACTCTTCTTGTAGGCCTGGAACTGTGTTTCATGTGTCTTGCCCGACACACATAATTCAGCGAATAGGATCATAGTAATTTTTCTATTAATTTACTAATCCAAATTAGTGGTTTAATGTAACTGTCAACTTTGCATTTTGGAAAGGCAATATTTTTATTTTGTGCTAGTGGGGCAACCCAGTTAATCCTGGGCACCGCACATTTCCCTAAAAATGTTTTAATATACTTAAAGATTTTTGCAATTATGCAATCGCTCTGTACTATATACACTGCAAAACACGGCACTGGTTTTTTACTAATCTGGTTTGGGTCCACCTAAGAAAGGAGACTAAAAAATCCTTTCATTCCTACCATGCCTAGAATCAAAACATCACGGCATTGTTTTTCTCCAATGTTGGTTTCTGGGTGATGATAGTGACAGGTCTGCCCATGGGACGCAGGCGGCTGGTCTGCGTGCTGGAGCCGCTCCAGGTTCAGAGTCCTGTAGAGCCAAGGCAGGGGACCCGCAAGGAGGGGAGATTCGCCCCTGCGCCCTAAGGGCGATAGAGCGGAGCCAGCGGCTGGACGCCCAGAGACCCTCCCGCAGCTAGTGCTGTCAGGCCAGGCGTGCATCACGTGAAGCTCTCAGTTCCGGGATCAAAGATGAGGACCGCACCTGGGCTGGGCACCCGCTGACCCCGCACAGCTCATCCCCACAAAGACCCGGGAGCCGGTGCATCGCGGACCCCACCCGGCCCTGGTGCCACCTAACACCCCGAAACCAGCAGCCTCGTGCTGGAAGCACCGCCTCCTGCCGTGGCTGCCCTCTCCGCGCAGTCCCCGCCCAGCGTGCCCAGTACAGGAAGAAGGAGATTCCGGGGCTAGCTGCCCGCCACGTTTGTAAACTCACATCCTCCAGCCTGCCCCTGGCCGCCATTTCCCGACGCTTGAGGCTGAAGCCTCAGCCAGCAGGCCTGTCCACCTGTTCCCAGGCGCCGAGAGCCCAGGAAATCTGCCACCTTCAAGGATCGGCCTGGCCCAACTCCAGACACGCCCCTCCTCTGTGCGCCCCGCCTCCTGCCCCTTCAGGCCCCGCCTTCTCACTTCCTATTGGTGAAGGCAGAGGGAGGGGCGTACCCGTTCCCGAAGGCCGGACCTTTGGGCAGCAGCAGCACCTGGGATCGGTTCCTGGAGAGTCCAGCTTCCCCGCTCAGGTCCGCTATTGGTCAGAGGCTTGAGCATTAAGGGCTGTCTTCAAAGTCCAAGAATTTAACTGTTTTCCGCTGCTACTTACTTTTAAAACGTTAACTTTTTTCGGTCTCCCTCAGTTTTCGTTTGCAGGCATAGCTCCATGCATAAGTAGATCCACCCGCAAAATATTAGGGTTCCCATTTTTAGCTCAAAACACCACTAAAGGGACATGAACAATAAAGATTCTAATTCCTATGACATATTTACAGAGTTCACCAATGCGCACGAATAAAGAAACTAAATTAGAAGCCAGTCTCACAGATTTTGCTATTCAGTAGCTCCCTAATCTGGCTCAGATTCAGTCCTAAATAAGCAGGCTTCACCCTCTTTTCAGGAGACTCAGTCTCCTGAGTCTGAGTCTCTGTTTGTATAACAATTACAAGAGTAATAAGGTTTTACCCTTTTTCACCTTGAACTTTATATTTCTTTGATAAGTACTTCCCAGTTGATGGATTATTTAGTGAATGATGTTGAGAAAACCAGGTAGCCATTTGGAAGAAAATAAAGTTGGATCATTCCCACATTCCTTAAGCCAAAATAAATTTCTAATAGTTCAAAGATTTAAACATAAAAATAAACCAAGTTCCAGAAAAAAACTTAGCATTGTCTTACAGTAAAGACTGTTTATGCACGATACCAAACCCCAAAGCACTAAAGAAAAAAGTGTAATAAATTTGACTACATAAAAAGTTTGAAACTTTTTCTTCTGTACAAGAAAGAAAGACAACATAAAGTTAAAATCTAAATGCTAGATAACTGGAGGCAACATAGCTATCCATTATTTGTAGAATAGTTAAGTAAACTGTAGTATCCATACTAAAAATATTATCCAGCAATTTAAAAAAATGAGGTAGATCTATATATTTGGGGGGGGAGAGCTCTGTAATATAGTGTCATGAAAGTAGGTTGCAAAATAGTTTTATTCATGAAAAAGTACACTTAATGCAAAAAACAAATATTTTGACATTTTGATGTAGTAATATATGCTATGAAAGTATACAGAACTAGAGAAATTAGGCAAGAAAAAGAAATGAAAGGCATTCAAAGTTGAAAGAAAAGAGGTAAAATTATTTTCAGAAGACATATCTTACAGAAAACCTTAAAGAATACACAAAAATGGTCTTAGAGCTAGTAAACAAATTAACAGCTAATAAAGAGTTTGGCAGTTTTTCAAAAAGCTAAATATAGAATTACCTTAAGATCCAGCAATTCTAGCCATAGGTATACAAGTAGTGTGATTGTTGTGTAATATTACAAATGTAATTAATGCCACTGTATCATACACTGAAAAATAGTTAACATGGCAAATATGTTATAAATATCTTACCACCATAAAAACACAGTTTTAAAGTTTAGAATATACACAAAAACTACTTATCACGCAATTAAGAATGATAGCATTATCTTAACTCACATGATAAAGAGCTAATTTCCTTATTACACAAAAAGCATTTCAAATCAATGTTTTAAAAAGTTTTTAAACAGGCAAATGACAAAAGCAAGTAGTTCACAGAAATAGGCAAACAGCATAGAAAAAGTATGTTTAACCTTTCTCACAATTTTAAAAATGCAAATTAAAACAACAAAAGATGTCGTTTTACTTAGATTGACAAAGATGAAAAGTATTACATTGTAGGAAACATTCATACACTGTTAGAAAAGGTGTGAATTACCGAAACATTTTGAGGACAGTCTGGCCAAATCTGTCAAACCTACCAAGTCAACATTTACCCAAGTTTTTAAATACTTATCCTTTGACTGTAAGATTTTTTTCCGAAGTTATACTAAAAAAAAGTGAGAAAGATATTTGTTTATGGATATCTGTTGCAACATCATTTGTAAACTTTCTCTTTATTAAAAACAGTGACACTTTGAATACTTATCAATAGGGGACTAGCCAAATAAAATATTGTACCAACACAAGTTGTCATTAAAAAGCTTAAGGGCAGATCCATATGCATGGATCTGTATGTGCTACAGAATGAAGGCCAAGTAAAAACACATCACTAAGAGGTTCATGTTTATGTTTCATCCACGCAACTAAACTTAGGACACTCTAAGGTGTAATCCATCACACATAGCCCAGAGCTGCACATGCAGCAAACGGTCGTTGACTTGAACTGAGTGAAAGAGAAATGAGAAGAAAGGTATAAAAATAAGATTCTAATGGGAGGTGGGGGGGTGAGATACACAGAACCAGAAGGATATGATAGGAGAGATAAAAGATGGAGGAGGAGAAATGAGCGATACAGGAAGAACAGAAAAGAATATTTGTAAAAATTGAGGAGAGCGGCAGGGGGCCTGAGGGGCATTGGACTGGGCAGTCACACATGCTTTGTATTAATTAGATCAAGATATGGATAATAAGCCCTGACTGTTGTGGCTTGGTTGGTTGGGTGTCATTGCGCAAAGCGAGGGGTGCCCATTCGATTCCTGGCCTGGCCTAGGTTGCGGGCTTGTTCCCCGGTAGCGGTATAAACAAGAGGCAACTCATCTATGTTTTTCTCTCACATCATTGTTTCTCTCCTTCTCTTTCTTCCTCCCTTCCCCTCTCTCTAAAAATAAACTTAAAATTTTTTTAATGATATGGATATTAAGATGTATGTGAAAGACCAACAGGACTAGTAGAGGGCACAGGGAAATAAACAGTGTAAGTTGCCTGAGGCAGGGCAGGGGAGGCCCCAAACACACAAACATTACAGTCTGACATGAGTGGCAGACCTATACCAGGCCCTGAGCAGATGGCTACAGGGGTGACAGGATCCTCAGCGGGGTCTTCAGCACATTGCCGGGCGCTGTATCAGAAGTAGCTGTATCATCTGAGCAGATTTCTCATTTGGGTAGGTTTGCTGTGGGTATTGCCATGACCTTGCAGCATTGTCCCAAAATGCCCCGGTCTGTGGTAGATTTGCTGTCTGAAGTATAAGCTTTAACCCCCTGGGGCAATCAGAGAATGCTTAAATGGAGAAGGTGGGAATGGAGGGAGAAAGGAGCAACTACTTCTCAGGCCCCTGGTTTATGGAGCATCTCAAGCCTGAGATAGTAAGCAAAGTGTTTTGCATCAAATTGGTCTGAATTATAAAGTCTTTTTCAGAATGTCTGTAAGACATACTCTCTTTGATCCCAAGTTATATGACTTACATCATCTCTGCCTTCCATCCCCAAAGGCTTGGAAGCCGTCTTATTGTTTTAAAGAGTTCTTTCGTCCTGAGCACCTTTTCCCAAGTCAGCCTGTCCTCCCGGAGGAGACATGGTATAGTGCAAAGCCCCCTGGGGCCAGAAAACACAGCTCAAATTCCAGCTCTACAACTTGCTGCTCACCAATCCCCTACCCCAACCCACCCTCACTTTTCTTAACTATAAAACGATACTTCTCTCCTAAGGTGACTGAAGGATTAAATCACATGTCGAATCCCTACAGGGCACTTGGCACAAATGAGGCACTCGTGAAATTGTAGCTTCCTTCCCCTTTCTCCCTCCCTTCCCCCATCCTCTCTTCTCTAGAGAGGAGGGGCCAGGTATACCCAGTTCTCTCTGTGGGCACCAGCACAGTGCCGCATGTAATTAAGTACTTAATAAATGCTTTTTGATTAAGCTCAGCATCTTCATAGCAGGCGAAAAGCACTTTGCTCAATCATCCTGATTAGATGTTTTTCCTTGGCAGAAATTCAAATGGCACCGATGCTAAATTCAGAGTGTAGTTTTGGAAAATCACATAATGATACTTCATTTCTCCCAAAGACGGAATGATAATTCCCACACCTGTCTCACAACTTTCCTTCTATGCCATTGGACAGTGGGATGTCTAGAAATGGAAGGCCTGCTTTTTAGTTGATAACATAAATAGTTCTCTAACAGAGAGGCAGAAATTGAGGAGCTAGGGGCTAGTCAGAGAGAACAATGAAGCATTCGTCACTTGTTACCGCCACCCACCCCTCCAAAGGAAGAGGGTCAGCTGGAGAGATGAGGCTTTCAGAAGAAACTCGCTTCTGAAAATCACTTCTGGGATCTCTTTGTCTTCCTCCTTTCACCAAGTTCTGCTGCAATACAAAAAGCACATTTACACCAGGTGTTAGTGAATTCTGTAGAATTTTCTGAGGTTCGAGGAAAGTGTTGGGCTTTCTGTTGTCCTGCTGGCTCAGCCCTTTTCTCCTCCTCTGCTTTTCTCTCCTCGGGATTAAAAAAAAAAAAAAAAAAAAAAGATTCTCTTTTCTCCAGGCTTGAGCAGGCCCTTGATGCAACACTCTCTTTCCCCAAGCAGCTTGTGAAAGTATCCCTCCCAAACAAACTCAGAAATCTCCCTAGGAAATCTCCACCTTGTCACCTCTTCCAATTTCACTTCCACACCATACACCCTACTCCGCACTGATTGCTGTTTCCTAGGAGCAAACGATGAGGTTTGGGCAGGTTGGAGTGTCCATCCCAATGCTTTTGGGACTGCAAGCTCTCCAGGAGCTTTAAGGAACTGACTGGTTTCGTAATAGCTGAACAATTTGGTTTCAAGTTCTCCCCAACCAAAGTTGCATTCGGAGGTGCAGTTCTTATCTAGTCCACTGAGCGATGCTGTTCCTCTAATAGTCAGATGGAGATAGTGGACCAGGAGGCACACTCTTATCAAAGGGGACAAATATTTAGTGTTTCTGGCTAAGTATTTAAAGATAGATATTTGTTTCCTTTTAGTAACATGTGAAGAGGCTTTTTAGTGGATACTAAATAAGTGGGCTATTATTTTAATAGCATCAGGCATCGTGCTTCGAGGTTGACATACCTGAATATCTAAAGACAGAATTTTAAAATGTGAGACCTTAACTAA